TGAAGGGAGATGCTGCTGGCGGGCTGGCTGGCTGCCGCAGGCAGGGGGTTTGGGAGGCGAGGACGCGGCCGTGGCCGTTACCGGAGCTTTCGATGTTAAACACGCTCCGTGTTCAGCTGAGGCACTTGCAGAGGCGAGGTGCCTTCAGCGTCGGGCGGTGGCTGAAATATCCGCAGTTTCGCACTGAAGGCGCTAAATTCCACCCGCTTAAGCAGAATGTTTCGTGGGCCAAAAGTTGAATTCCAGGGTGTTCCGCGTAGCAGGAACGTTTTCTGAACGTGCCTCGTGTAGGCTTTTCACATCAGGCTTTAAAGTGCTGCCTTTTTTTGTGTTTTTCTTCGCTTCCTGTGTTTAGAATCGCAGAGCAGCCCAGGTGGGAAGGGACCACAAAAAGATCATCTGGGCCAGCGTTGCGTGGGAAAGGGGGCCTAGGTGAGGTCATCTAGCACCCTGCCCAGCCGCATCTTGAAACTTCCAGCAAGGGGGACTCTGCCGTCTTCCTGGGGAGGTTGTTCCACTAAATGATTTTTTTCTACAGTAGAAAAAATTCATTTTAATGATGAGCTTCTGTGTCAATGTCTCTCTTCGTTTTTACAGAGATCGAAAACTATATAAACTGGGATTAAAAGGATTTTACGTCAAAGATGACAATGGCAGTACAGGTAAGGTAATAAAATGTGTTGTGCAATATGATGTGCAGGTAAAATGAGTTATGTGTGGTTATTTAAGGTACAGTAGGACTGTATAACTGCTAACCCATAGTTTTGTTCTTATTTCTGCCTTGTTTTTCAGTACTTTTGTTATGGGGATTGATGTGAATAATAGCTTAGCACTAGCATAACTTTCAAGTTACTATAATCTTGACATGGAAGTTTGTGTCAAACCGGGTGCGATGCTTATTCCAGTTTGCACCTATTTACGAGCTCACATAATCTCCACCTGGTGCACAGAGCAGATTAGCTCACAAGTGTCTGACCTGCTCTCAAATCGTAACTACAACTTCCCTAGCTCAAAATCAATTTTATAACGGAGGGTCTGCAAATCCTAGGTGTTTGCCTGGGAGTAATACTGTCCTGCTGCCTCTACCCCAGCCTAGGACATTAGTTGTTGCTGATTCATCTGCTGGGCCAGAAGTAGAGAAGCAGTAGCCCCGATGGGGGAAATCACGATTTGCATGTACATGAGGAATCATATGAGGAGGACCGGAGGAGTAAGTCTCTACCTACTTGCTCGTATTTTAGGAATAATCATGGTGTATGCTCTGGCAAATTCAACATCAGTCCCTTGCTCCGTCCTCACGAATTCCCTACACATGCCTATCTGAACATAATTCCTTTGGTATCTGATTTTTCATTGCTGTCTTGCTAGCTCCAGCTTCATATAATAGCTTGATTTGAAAGGAAAGAGTCTGAACAGAAAGGAGTGTCCATAGAAGCTGAGAATGAATAGCACAGGTTAGATAGAGGCAGTGTGAATGGAGTGAAGAAGGAGAATGTAAACCATGTTTTTGTGCATATATGACTGAATTGTGGTGAGAGTAATCAGTTAAAAACAGAAGAGTCTTGCGCTATGTGATAATTTGGCAGTAAATATATCCTGAGGAAAAAAAAAAGAATCTTAATTTTTTCAGTTTTATCAACTGTTTCAAGAGCTTTTGTATTTCATTAAGCTTCATCAATATACAGTTCTTACTTTCTCAGTGGTATTTGTCATGTTTTATACATATGATGTTGCTTAAAAATTTGATAGATGTGGAAGCAGTGTTTCAATAGTTGATCAGTTATTTCTGAGATAATTATGTTCTGTAGTTCACACATTACATTTTTGTAAAATTGTATTATCTTTGTTAGTGTGTTTTGGGAAGATTTGTAACAAAACCAGCAGTTCCTTGTATTTTAAGCTTGCTCTGAGACATGCCAAACAAGCTCCTGTAAAGAATTTTCTTTTCCTAATACTAATTTTGCTGTTGTTTGCTGGGCGTTATTGCAGTTTGCTCTGCAAGTTATTGAGGTGAACGTTTGTGGTGGGTCAACCCCAAGCACCCACACTTGCTACCCTAGTTTTTATTGCTGAGCATCACGTTATACAGTATCGACTATCCCTTCAGCCAGTTTGGGTCAGCAGTCCCAGCTGTGTCCCCTCCCGATCCTTGCCTGCTCTAGCATGTTCACTGGGGAAGGCAGAGTGGGGAAAAAAGTTATGAAGCTGTGCAAGCACTGCTCAGCCATAGCCAAAACATCGGTGTCTTATCCACACAGTTTTAGCCACAGATCCAAAACACAGCACCATACAGGCTGATGTGAGGAAAGTTAACTCCATCCCAGCCAGACCCAGTGCAGTGTTTTGGCTGTCGAAGTTAGATTTCACTTCCTGCTGATAGTTATGTGGAAAATAAGATGCTTGCAATGAAAATTTTAAATGGGAAAGGAAGCTTAAGAGGCAGTTCTGCTAATTTTTGTCGGCCGTGCTGTTGTCTTGAGGTATCACAACCAGATTATATTCACTTAATATAATTTGTTAACAGGGGAGGAACAAGCGTCTGAGGAGGAAAACCATTGTCCCAATGTGACATTAAAGGTGGATACTAATCATGCTCTCGACCTGGAAGAAGTTGAACTAGACTCGGAGGCTGAGCTTATGAAGAGTATGGGATTGCCTCTTCAGTTTGGTGGGCAGTCAGCCCACAGGGACTTTGTGGTAAGTCTCTATTTGCTTTACTTGTTCTGTTTGCTTTGTGTGTCCAGACCTAGGGGCATGTCTACTCCTCAGTTATTTTTGAGATTACAGTTCATGGAAACGTATCTGAGCTGGCTTTAAGCTGGCTGCCTCGCATACTTGTAACAACATACAGCACCATGGTGTGTGCAGTTTGTAAGATCCAGCTGCCAATTTGACTAAACAGGGTCAGGCTGTGCTTTATGCTTCCATTATCTATGTTCCTCTTGCTACTAGAGAGTGCTAGTTTAAAACAGCCATGGTAATGTTGATGCTCTGCATCAGGACAACTAGTACCGTCCAATCTGAGCATGTGTGTTCACACAGTCTGTTTTAACTATTTAGCTTTAGATGCTAATGTAAAAAGCTAGTTTCTCAGATTGAGGCCTGGGTGCTCTGCTTCCCATAGGGAGCGTCTGGGCTTTAAAGGAAGACTAAAGTTGTTCATAGATGAGAAAAAGACAGTGGGATATCCACATTGTCCACTTTATGCAATACCAGCCTCCTTGGCAGTGAGAGAGTACTTTTGTGCAGAGCATTCCATGGTTCTGACCTGATTAATTTGTAAATAAATAGGAGAAACTTGTACATGATTTTAATTGATGGCATGTAAATAGACCTTACAGGCATCCAACTTCAAAGTTGGATACATGCAGTTTTTGTTGCTACGTAGTAATACTGCAGATAAGTTGAATGAGAAAATATTGTGTGGTTCTACTAGATTACTACTAAGCATTGTGCTTTGCACTGTGTGTATTAACATGACCTTATGAGGGATGTGGATGAAAGATTGATGGCAGTTCTCTGAACCTAACTTCTTTATGGTCTACCTTACGCATTTGTGAATGCAAAAACCCTAGAGATTGCAGCTGCTGGGGCATTTAGAGTAGTATCTGTACATTTGCAGTCTTTGCCCATGTGAGCTGTAGTCCCTCATCACCGCCGCCTTTTTACCTGCCAAACTTAATATGGCAGTTTACGAAAAAAATTGGCAGATTTATCTGATAGACAAACTTGCTTTTCTTGGATGTTTTTATGTTGTTTATATCTGTAAGCACTGAAACAAGTGGAGTTGTATTTGATGAAACCAACAAGTTATCTTAGTGTTTCCTTTCAGTTTCAGGTTTCTGTCTTCTGTTCTACTAGAGTTGAGTTTGTTGTAGACAGGTGAAATGGTTGTATTGCACAAATGAAAGGTCCACCTGTTCGGAGAGGAGGCTCTTTCCTTGTGTTTCTATTAGCCAGCTTGGAGATCAGTATGGGATGGGAAGAACATTACACCCCTCTTTTGGGTCAATGTCTTCAGACATACAGAGATTCAGCTGCAGGATTTAGAGATCTTATGAGTGTAAAGCAATGCTTTTTTGTTTAAAGCACCCAAAGATAGCAAGGATTGAACATTCTGTTAGGTTGAGCATTACACGTTCACTACCCTAGTAAGACACCTGAACAGTGCTTGCTGGCCAGGCAGATACCAGGCAACAGTAAGGGTCAGCCTCCATGGCCCCCTAAAACAGATCCTTGATGTTACTGAGATACTGTTTTACTGTTGGGCTCAACCCAGTGACCCTTCAATTCCTGACCAGCCTCTCTTTAGGATTTTATAGTGTTTCATGTTCATGTCTTTCCTTCTGAATCCTTGAGCTAATGCTGACCTCTCGGCAGCCCCACTTCTGTCTGTAATTCTGCCTTTTTTGTGTGTGTCTTTCTATAGACTTTCTCACAGCTCTTCCTCACAACTTCCTCAGAAATGTCAGCCAAGGTTATGCAGCAGGGCCCTATCAGACCCATAAACCCTACAACCTTTTGTGGGGAGAAAGCTAACAGCAGGGTTGCAGTGAGAGGAAGGGTTACAACAGAAACAGAGATGTGCTTGGAGAGAGAACAAGACAAGGCTGCACATATGTTGTAGACTTCTAAGTATGTTTTTCTATTATATTTTAGGCAACAGAAAATTATAAGAAGAGAAGTAACATGAAGATTATGAAAAAGAAAAAGAAGAAAAAGGAGTTAGAGCAAAAACATGAGGATAAAATGGGGCAGAAATGCCAGGATCAAGCTTGTGGTGGTCGTATGCAGTCCGTTTCTGGTGAGCTGGCCCTAGCTACAGAGCAACGTGAGAAGAGCAGCAAACCTCGGGTTTTAAGTGAAGGGAACTGTGAAAGTTCAGGTAGTCTTACAAATGAGGCTTTACCCAGCAAACTTGAAGAAAAATGGGAGAAGTACTGGAGCGAGTACGGAGAGGGCCTTCTTTGGCAGAGTTGGCTGGAGAAGCATCAAGGGCTCTTATCGTCTGAGGCCACCACAGCCTCTGAGCCTTGGAATAATGCGGACACCAGGGAAGAGTGGGAGCAGCATTATAGCGAACTGTACTGGTATTACTGGGAACAGTTTCAGTACTGGACAAGTCAAGGATGGACTACTGAGAGCTCACATGGTGACAACGTGGAAGCTAATGGGGTTACTCAGGAGATGGGTCTTTCGGGAAATATGGACTTGGTTAGCCCAGGGGCCGAACGCAGTGAAGTGCTGAGCTTGGAGCTGTCTCCCTCTAACACCAGAAGTGTGGAAACGCTCCCTTCAAGTGTTGAGCCCCACAGTGAAATAGTCTCTGGGATTTGTAATTTAAATCTGGTTTCGGAGGAAGTGGAGCAGAGCAGTGCAGCTCTAACAGTGGCCCACCAAGGTCTTCAAGAGCATAATTCATCTGACAGGGAAAGCCAGCAGGAGCCCTGTGATGGAGGAACCAGGAAAAGGAGTGCATCTTGTGAAAATAAAAGTATTAACCAGTCAGGTAATACCAAATCAGCTAAAATTAATTCTATCAGAATTTCTCTAGGTGGTTATATATAAGAAACAAGGGCATGTATTATGCCATTTTAAAAAAAGTCAATCAAATATTTAGTGGAATGACTGCATACTTGATTTCTTTTTCTTCCCTCTGCTTCTCTGGATGATCTCTCTCCTCTCTAACCTGTATATTGAATGTGTTCTTCAGCCAGAATTGATTTTAACAGAACATGTGCTTCATAAACCTTCAAATGTACTACAGAAAGGGGTGAGAGAGCACTGTTAGTGCATATTTATTTATTTATCTTAGTATTGGTATTGCAGGTCTGTCATTCAGCTGATGAGTCTTTTCTCACTGATAGTCTAAAATGAATGAAAACTCAGGTTGATGTTCCCATGAATTTTAAGAACAGCTTTTTGAGGGAAAAAAAAATAGTTCTGCCGTTCTGGGGTTGGGGTTTTTTTGCCTTCTGTCTAAAAATGCCATGTTTGAAAATAAACACCTGTTTTATTGTACTGTGTTACTGTGGACCAGATGTCTTCCAGAGGTCCTTTCCAGCATTAAGTTATCAATTAGGCAGTGAGCTGCAGTCATCTTTACAACCCCAAATTCATACGTTCACAGCTAGCGCTAACAAGTGAAAGTGCCAGGTAATGTAGTAGTATAGTGAAAGCCAGTGGCTGTGCCTTACGCTACTGGGAGACCTTCTGTGCGGAGGTGCAAGGCTGGGCTGGAGACATTTTTGCCACCCAGTTCAACGTGCAGAGAAAGGAGAGAGCCATCTTGTTTGCCTGCCAGTTCTTCCTGTAGCAGTGTAACATCCTTCCTGACTGTTGTATGGTTTCTCCTGCCGAAGAGGAGGGATGAAACAAGTGAGTTAAGTGTCAGCAGCTTGGGACTTCAGTTTGGTGGGAGACCTCCGAGTCTGCTGCTAGTGACTTTCTAAGGAAGGAAGAAGCAGGCGTGGTTCCATCTTGATCCTACAGTAGAGTTGGAATGGGAGAGGTGAAAGGAAAATCTCCTTTCCAAGAAGAAATGAGAGGAGGGTTGGAATCCTCTGTTATTAAATGTATGTGAATATCTTTGCGTAGCTAATGGAATAGAAACAAAATTTACGCACAAGGAAGAAACTGGTTTGAATTTGTACCTTGTAGGCATTTTATATTTCTTGGAGAGCTGAGATAATTTGAAGTTGGTCCTGCTTAAGATTATGAACTCTAATACTGGAAGCTCGTATTGGTATATTGTCCCTCAAAGATGAGTAAAGATATGTGTGCGTGACACTTGTGCCTTATTGGTCAGATTCAGGTATGTACCACAACCTAACCGTAGCTGCAGATGTACTTTGGGGACAAGAAGATAAGGAATTAATTTATGCAGAAGGAAGATATGATCTCATCTATCTTTTTTAGGTTCACAGGGGTCATGTAGCTCAAATTTAAATGAAAAAGAACAGTTGCTGCTTCATAACCGAGATGAAGATGAGGATGAAGAGCCTCCTGAATACAGACACGCCAAAGTCAAGAGAAGGCAAGTCATGAAATTTAGACTAGCTTTTTTTCTCAAGAAGCCCAGGTCCAGAAGCCTCCTGATTTATAGTAACTATTTGTTTGATTGAGATCGTGAGTTAGAACTTCAGTACAAAGCCACATATTCTTCTATCACTGCTTATCACTTTACCTGGCAACAAGCGGTGGATATTTCTTCTCTTCCGTTGCTTTATGAAAACAATGTATAGCCTCGATGACTGTGCAAGGTGATGGTACTATTCTTGCGCCACTGAAGTATACAAGTTTGTTAAATTGGATAGGACGACTTGCTTATCTAGGTCCAATTAGTGTAGATGATACAAGAATGATAGTAAATAATTTGTATTGTTTAACTGAATTGTTTGCTGCCAGTAAAGTGCTCAGTGCTATGGCAATCATAAAATAGCTAATCTCTGCCTAGTTAAATTCTTCTTCTTTCTTCTCTAAGAATTTATAGTCTCAAAGATGGTGAGATGGCTCTTCCTCTCTAATAAATTTATAAACTCAAAGGTGAAGGGATGAACGGAAATATTATTATCTGCTAATCATGTAGCTTTGGTTTTGTTCTAATATTTTGTTGTTGCCATAGCATTAATAATAGATAATAATATAGATAACATAATGGATGATGAAGGTAACTTGGAAATAGGGTGAACAAACATTGTCTTCATCAGTGCCATGTAGAGCTTGATATTAAATATTTTAAGAGATCATTTGGAATAGTTGGAATATTGTAACCCTTTCATTCATCCCTTGAATTGGGTAAAAAAAAAAAAAGGTTTGTGTTCATGCATATGAATAGGCCGGTGTTTTCCACCTTGCTTGGTTTCAGCAGTGTGTGGAAGAATTTACAAAGCCCACATTTAAATGTTTTAAATACATGAGTTTCTTAATGGTATTATCTGTAAAATAAGAGTGGGTTTTTTACAGTAAGTAACACTGTCATCTGTGTTTTTTCCTAGCCATGAACTGGATGTGGATGAGAACCCAGTGGAAGATCCTGAGGAAACCTGCTCTGTTTTGGGTTTCAAGTGTGGCACAGGACAAAAGTAATTGCTTATGAGGAACTTGGGTGTCGTGGTTTACCCCCAGCCAGCAACTAAGCACCACGCAGCCGCTCACTCACTCCCCCCCATCCAGTGGGATGGGGGAGAAAATCAGGAAAAGAAGTAAAACTCCTGGGTTGAGATAAGGACGATTTAATAGAATAGAAAAGAAGAGACTAATAATGATAATGATAACACTAATAAAATGACAACAGTAGTAATAAAAGGATTGAAATGTACAAATGGTGCGCAGGGCAATTGCTCACCACCCACCGACCGACCCCCAGCCAGTCCCCGAGCGGCGATTCCCTCCCTCCCCCACTTCCCAGTTCCTAAACTAGATGGGATGTCACATGGTATGGAATACACTGTTGGCCAGTTTGGGTCAGGTGCCCTGGCTGGGCATGAGAAGCTGAAAAATCCTTGACTGTAGTCTAAACACTACTGAGCAACAACTGAAAACATCAGTGTTATCAACATTCTTCACATACTGAACTCAAAACATAGCACTGTACCAGCTACTGGGAAGACAGTTAACCCTATCCCAGCTGAAACCAGGACATTGGGGTATCTTTATTGCAAGTCAGCTCTCTTGTTATTATTCAAATAGACCATTCATCTCCATTCCCATTTTGTTAAACTTTTGAAGATGATTCCCAAAGTTAGTCTCTGCTCTTAATAAAACTCATCCTTTGGCTAGAGAGAGAGAGAGATGCAAAGTTACAGAGACTAATTAAAGAACAATAAAAGCGCTTTGAAACAGAAGTGTAACTCGTAAGGTGCTTGCACTTGTGTAAATGTTAAATGGCTGGTCAGCTACTTAAATTAGAGCTTAAAGGCTCTGACGATGAATGGTCCTCTGAGTTTGGAGTCCTGTGAGCTTAGATCATAGTTTATAGCTGTTTCGTATTGGAATGAGGTTGCCTTATACTAGTAAAATGTTGCTATACTAATAAAGTGTTGCCAGGGTGTTGACCAGTGAAATTTCATTTTTGGTGGTATGACCTAAAGATATGGTGGTCAGTGCTGTAGAATTAACCTCACAGGGCACAGGTGGACTGTAGCTTACGTCTAGCGCTTCTGCAGTAGCTGTTTTGGAGGTTCTTTACAGCCACCAAAAAGATATTTTATTCTGCTAATCAAGATAGTTTTTCAATTCCTGTTCTTCAGGCTGGTCTGGGAAATTGTTTCCACCTAAAGTTATAGACCTATTAGAAAAAAAAAATAAGAAAATCTAAAACCAATTCAGGTAAACAGTTTCAAATAAAAATATTTAAAAGTTTTCATGAAGGTACGTTGTTTTGCGGCTACATCTAGTGACATATATTTTAAGAGTGGAGCAAATGTCTCATAAAGAAATAATTTAGTCTAAATCATTTCCTGTAGACATCAACATTCATGTTAAAGCTTCCAGATTGGAAATGAACCAACTAAGTCCTTATTTGTCCTTTTTTTTTTTTTTTTTTTTTTTTTATTTTCAATTTGGGGGAATTCCAGATTTCACCCACCGAAGTGTGCAGTACTTGGAGAAAAAAGCAAAACTCAAGTCCAAATTCTTGGATATGCGTAAACCAAGGAAGAGCAAAAACACACACATCTTCTTTACAGAGGAATCTGAAACTTCTTGCAAGAAAAATAAAACTTTGAAAAAGGTAGGTTAATGTTGTTAGTGTTGCTGTAATTCATAGATTTATCTGCTCCCTTACCTGATGTTAAATTATGGAGAAAACAAACAAACAAACAAAAAAAAACTTACTGCCCAGAGTAGGTGGCATTTTTGAAGTGTCAGTCCACTGCTTTTTTTTTTTTTCCACTTGCTTAGTTGAGAAGTAGTGAGGTTAGGGTGGATATGGAAAGGCATTGTTGGACTCCCGGCAATCTGTCAAGATGAATGCGAGCTTGATGGTGAAGTTATGTGAAAGTCATTCCTAACATCTGGGTGCATCATTCCTTTAGAGGTGTGTGTAGGTTTCTGTAGTTACTAAAAGAATCTCTGATTTTGAAATGCATGTGAAAGCATTTGTTAGTGCTGGCATTTCAGCAGTGAAAGAAAAATGTTTGTGTAGGTTAGTGCATTTCATGTAACTACGTGTTATTAGTAACTTGTATCAACATTTTTGCTTACACTACACCTCCACCTGTATTTATTTTCACCTATAACTTTATGCTAATTTTTTTTTAACTCAGAAATTAGTAATGAGTAGAAAAACTTGTTCGTTGTAGATTTTTCTTAGTTGAGTCTCTGATTTAAAATCTGTTACCTCAGATTTTCAATGTTAGTTTGCCACCTTCTGGGATGCTTGGCATTCCCTAACACCCAAGTGCAAAACACTGTTCTCTGGTGACAGCACATACTGTATTGAACTCCGGTCCCATTGCTGTAATTTTAGATCAAAGGCTTGACCATTGCCATCTTGTACCTGAGGCCAGTATAGTTTGAGGGCAACTTTAATTATGTGAAAAAAAAAAAAAGTTATAAATTTCCTCAGACTTTCTGGTAAGGAACTGCCCCAGGCCTAGTGCCACTCAGAGCAACTGTAACATAAAAGTGAGCATCTGCATATGCCTTTGAAGAGTTTGGACTAGTGTCTGCACATTGGTTAGGATGTAATGTTGAGCTCTCTACGATGCAGCAGAACCCTTTAGCACGTGCACCATTTGGTACATCTTGGAGATGATGCAATTAATGTATGAAGGTAATTTTACCTGTTTAATGCTAACCTGAAAGGCAGAGTACAGCTTCTCTGAATGCAGATCAGAGAAAAGATAGTTAATTAAAAAGTAGTAGTTTTGGTCACCTGTGCTGTGGCAAGGCTGACTATATTTCAGATATTACTTGAGAATGATTTACTGTATTTATCGGTCGATTTTATGGAGTTTTGTTTTTGCAACCAGCTGGTATCTAGTTCCCAAAGACAACTTGTTTCCAAATGTTGTAAAAAGGGAGCTGTGGTGGGTTGACCCTAGCTGAACACCAGGTGCCCACCAAAGCCGTTCTATCGCTCCCCCCGCCTCAGCTGCACAGGGGAGAGAAAATATAACAAAGGGCTCGTGGGTCGAGATAAGGACAGGAGACATCACTCACCAATTACTGTCATGGGCAGAACAGACTCAGTTTGGGGAAAATTAACTCAATTTATTACCAGTCTACCAGAGTAGGGTAATGAGAAATTAAACCAAATCTCAGAACATCTTCCCTCCACCCCTCCCTTCTCCCTGGGCACAACTTCACTCCCGGATTCTCTACCTACCCCCACCCCCAGCGGAGCAGGGGGACAGGGAATGGGGTTTACAGTCAGTTCATCACACGTTATATCTGCAGCTTCATCCTCCCCAGGGGTGGGACTCCTCACACTCTTCCCCTGCTCCAGCGTGGGGTCCCTCCCACGGGAGACAGTCCTCCACAAACTTCTCCAGCGTGGGTCCTTCCCATGGGCTGCAGTCCTTCAGGAGCACACTGCTCCAGCGTGGGTCCCCCGCGGGGTCACAAGTCCTGCCAGAAAACCTGCTCCAGTGTGGGCTTCTCTCTCCATGGGTCTCCACGTCCTGCCAGGAGCCTGCTCCAGCGTGGGCTTCCCACAGGGTCACAGCCTCCTTCAGGAACCCACCTGCTCCGGTGTGGGGTCCTCCCCGGGCTGCAGGTGGATATCTGCTCCACCGTGGACCTCCCTGGGCTGCAGGGGGACAGCCTGCCTCACCATGGTCTTTACCACGGGCTGCAGGGGAATCTTCGCTCCGGCACCTGGAGCATCTCCTCCCCCTCCTTCTGCACTGACCTTGGGGTCTGCAGGGTTGTTTCTTTTACATGTTCTCACTCCTCTCTCTGGCTGCTGTTTCTGTGCCCCCTGCACCTTTTTTTCCCTTCTTAAATCTGTTCTCCCAGAGGCACCACCATCGTCGCTGGTGGGCTCAACCTGGGCCAGCAGCAGGTCCATCTTAGAGCCGGCTGGTATTGGCTCTGTTGGACACAGGGGAAGCTTCCAGCAGCTTCTTACAGAAGCCACCCCTGTAATGACCCTCCCCACCCCAGCTACCAAAACCTTGCCACACAAAGCTAATACAGGAGCACAGTTAAGGACTTCCTGAATGTTTTGACTCTGGATAGTTTACTTGTTTCAGAATACATGTGTCAGAGAGTGCGTGCATGGCAAGTGCTTTTGAGCTGTAAGGCTTTTAAACTGTGCTCTTGGTAGCTGGTTAACAGCACCATCTAATTGTCTGTGATATTGAACAATTTGCAGGTGGAAGAGTTCCTAAAGCGTGTTAATACACCTGGGGAGGAAGGCACATCCCAGCCAGCCTCCCTTCAGGGTAAAGCGGAGGCACTGCCCGCGAGCAGTGACTCGGAGGATCAAGAGAGCGTTGCTGCCGTGCAGACTGTGATGCTGAACGCCGAAAACGAAAAGCCACTGTCTTCCAGCGCGGCCTTCGCAGAACCTGGAGGGAGTGACGGTGAGGAGGGAGCACAGGACGTGGCAGCGAGCGGCTCCGATGGCCAAGGCGCAGGGAGGCAGGAGCATGGCTGCGGGCGGCAGCTGATCTCTCTGGATATTCCCGATTATCTCCGGGCAGAGGCAGAGGACGTCAGCCAAGGTACATCAGTTTCCCACAAACTGGGGATGAATCGGCAGTGCCTTCCCAAATTACAGCATTGTGCGGTATTCGTTTATTCAAAAGGTCCACGGGGTAATGAGGCCGACTGAGAGCTGTGCTAGTGGAAGTAGCTTATTCCTGGAGCGCCAGAATCCCAGGTCTTGTCTTTAATATTAGCAGTATTTCCTTTTATATAAGCAGTCATTGTTGATCCTAGATGTGATCTAACAGGTCTCCAATTCACACCGTTTTTCCCCAGTAAGGATAAGGGTGATTAATTTGAGGTAGATGCACAGACCGTCGGGTTTTGGGTTCTCACATGCACATTGCTGAGCTTTGGGGAGCATGTGTTGTTAAAATTATTTTCTAGGGGGGAAAAAAAATAAAAGTCTATATTACGAACTTTTCTATTTAACACTGTAAACAAAGGAAAACAGGATTATTCAGGGTTCTACATATAGTTTAATCCTTCCTACAGTAATTCAATTATGTTAGATTTCTACTGTAAAACTCTTGTCTAGATTGATTCTTATGCCTTATTTATATAAAGGCATTAAATTAGTCTCTGATCCACTTGTTTGCTGACTATGTAGTTTATTGTTACCAGTTGAAATGATGGCTAGCTTGTTAAGGCTCTTAAGTAATGGGTGAAGTGTTACAATTTTTAAGACTGTGACTGCTACCTGTCAGGTAATGCTATTCCCTTGATATACAGCATGCTCTTTTTTAGCTTAAACCACTAATCTGCATACTCTGGCAAACAGTAATAAAGGACGGTTAGCAGTGTTGTTAAACATAAGCCTCTTACATCTTAACTCTCACTTACCTACCAATTACATTCCTAGCCTATGAGAACAGTGATTATTAACTTTTGCAGTGTCTTCCAGCTGTAGATGAAAAAATCACCGCAAAGAAGAAGGTGAAAAAAAGGAGGAAAAGGAATAAAATTGCGCTGGGAGCTATACCTGCCGAGATTGCTGCTGATCCAGAGCTGGCCAAGTACTGGGCACAACGCTACCGGCTGTTCTCTCGGTTTGATGAGGGAATTAAACTAGACAGAGGTATGTTTAGTACAAAGTGCACTGACTTGGTGGTATAAGATATACCCAAACCTGTGACCCTTTTCACAGTTCATTACTGATTTTCTTATAAGAGGTGCGTTTGCACCTCTGGATAAATTCCATCCCCCAGCAGGCAGGCAAACAGAAGTCTTGGATTTCAGTAGAGCCTCTAGCATGGTACCACCCCTGTTTGCATTAGTCCTGATGTTTGCCAAAGATTGAACTGTACCCAAATTATGCTTGGTCAGGACTTTTTCAGAAACTCAATGGCACTTTTCGATTTCTATATTTTATATAATAATTTTGTGAAACTTCCAAATATGATGATGGATCTAGTTTTATTCTGTTTTGTTCTGACTTTCAGCAATCACTTCAAAGTTGATTTTTTTCCATGTTTACATGGAAACAGCTTCCAAATCATAAATTTATAAGGTAAAGGAGGAATCAGGATTACTGGGGTTTTTGTATCCTGGGTTTGTTGGGTTTTTTAAGCCTTTCACTTCTAATGCTCTCCCACATAAACATGTAGATTATTTGGCAGACTGGATATTGCTGTAAAGAAAATAACATGTCGGACAAGAGAGAATATATTTCTGGTTTTATTTGTTACAGAGCATAATTGTGATGTATAAAGGTTTTTCGTAGCTGTCTCAATGGACAAGTCCTTGATAAGCCAGAATCCTCAGCACTGAGTTCGACATTTACCGAGATTCAGGCGTATCTGTTTGCTTCAGTGAGAATTCTGTTTGCTTAGCAAATTGCTGGACTGACCAGAGCTTATCATCTTCAAAGCCTATATTTCCTGGTCGAATGCTCTAAACCAGAATTGCTGGGATTAACGCTAAACCTTCAGTTGGGGGCGGGGAGATTGGTTGTTTGTTTTTAATTTAGGTGACCTTGAAATAAGGGGCAAAAATGCACTTCTTCCCTTTCCTTTGCAGAGGGTTGGTTTTCTGTTACGCCTGAGAAAATAGCTGAGCATATTGCCATCCGCGTTAGTCAGTCATTCAACTGCGATATCATAGTGGATGCGTTCTGTGGGGTTGGAGGAAACGCTATTCAGTTTGCGTTGACCTCAAAAAGAGGTAAGCAGGTGTTGTATATAGTGCATTATTCTGTTATTATATTTCAATCTTTTTCCCTAAAAATTTGGGTATGCACTTTGTTCACTAATTTTTATTTTCAGTGATTTTGAAGCAACAGAAGCTTTTCTGCTTCAGACTCACAATATGAGCTTTCTGTTTTTAAAAAGGACCTATAAAACTGCTTTTCTATTTTAAGTCAGAGTTGGATTTGTGTTGTACTAGTCAAAGTTATTTTTACGTGGCATAGTAACTAGTCTATTGGATGCTCTGAAGATTGCTGGCAAAGGTTGAGTTCTGCTTGCAGTGCTAACCTGCAGAGATGCCACAAAGCTGCTGCTTTTCCCAATTGTTACACCAAGTCTGTGTACTCAAAAGCAGGATACCTGCGAATAGTACTTAAAACACTTGAACGGGATCACCTGCAGGTGCAGCAGAACCAAATACAGAAAAGTGATGGTAACTTAATATTAGTCTAAGTTCCTGTTGCCAGCTAATGAAATTGCAGTGAAACATTGAGAGTGCTTTCTGTAAAAACACTGACTACTTGATATTCTTCTACTCATCAAACACTCTGGTAAAACACCAGCTCATCTAACGCTTCTGAGTAATTTCTGAGCAAGACAAATGGTAGTTTCTACTGCATTAAATTTGGTAGTCTATGGTCTATTCTAGAAATACTTTCTAAATTTCACTTAGCTCTTTGTATTTCCTGGCTAAATTTTTATTTCTATGATTATGTACTGCCCTTCTTTCATCTCTCTTGTGCTGTGTTTGGTGGTTTTTTTAAACTCAATTTTCAGTACAATGTGATCAGCCACAGATAGATGTTTGTCTTTAACAAAGGAGAGTAGCAGGTTTCTAATTGACACCGTTTAAGCTGTCAGACTGAAGCTGTCAAGATTGAAGCGAGGAGGACTTCCACTCTTAGGCAGACAGCCTTATCTGCCCACTACTTCAGCTGAGATGGAGGATTGTCATGGTAGTAGATGCATGACTGCCAAAAGCTAAAGCTTCTCAGCTTTGCAGCAACAGCAGCTGAGCCTCCCCAGTCTTGGCTGCGTGGCTTCCCTTGCTGGTTTGTAAATGCAGCAGTTCTGCTCTTGGTGGAACCTCTGCTCCGGCCATGCAAGGGCAGGTCCTTCCCCTCTGAGGAACTCTATCTTCATGTCTACTGTGACCTACAAAACTGAAGTAGTAACTCACTGCACAACAGTATAGGTGTGACTTGTATCTGGTGGCCGCAGAAGAACACCGTCCTTCTGATATGTCCTTTTGATGGTCAGGTGGCATTCGCAGTTCACGCTAACCTGTGCATTTGCGCTCTCTTTCGTTTGCAGTGATTGCTATTGATATCGATCCTGAGAAGCTCAGCCTTGCACGCAACAACGCTGAGGTGTACGGCGTGGCAGATCAGATAGAATTTGTGTGCGGAGACTTCATGGTGCTGGCTGCTGACCTGCAAGCAGATGTTGTGTTCCTCAGCCCGCCCTGGGGGGGGCCTGACTATGCCACTGCCGAAATCTTCGATATCCAAACTATGATTTGCCCAGACGGATATCCTTTCAAAGTTAAGCATTGCTGTGATTTTTAGTCGCTTATGAGTGTTTTTCTCTCTTTCTTCTCCTCCCTCTCTTGACATGGGCTCTGTGTGCCCTGTTGGCTGACTGGGGATGATATGACCAGCAGCTGAAGTCCCAGATGTGCCGCATTTGTGTAGTCCTCCTCCCCCAACCTCAGCTATATGACTTTGACCACCTAAAATTAAATGTTTTTATTATAATTTTTTATTTAAAAAAAAAAGTCATGAAGAGTTATTCTTCAAAGTAAAAAATCCTTTAGAGAATTGTAGTAGCTTCTTAACTTAAAGCATTAATTCAGCAGTTTTAACTCCTTTATACTATTTTATTAAAATACCCTGAAGTAATCAAATAGCCATGTGGTGTATATAGGTAATAATTAATTATGAGAGCTATGACTTTGTCATTAATTCCACTTTTTAATTGATTTATAAAAGGTGTATCTTACTCAGACTGTTCTCAGTCATAGCACCTGCCTATGACTTGGGAAATCACAGAAGAGTGCAAGAAAAATATTAACCCTTTCAATTAATGTATAAAATTCCATACTAACTTATTAACAGTGATATTGAACACTCATTCATCTGGGAAGGTATTAGCATAATAGTTTCATCAAATATGAAGTGTGGTGGGTTTTTTTCCCCCAAAATAATCTCAGTTGTTTCCTTTATGGCTAAAATGTAGCCATATTTGTAAGAGTAAGGAAATCTTTGTATGCATGCATGAGAGAGATTCCATTAAATGGATTAGAAAACAAATATCAAACCAATGTACTAGCTATAAACTACATTCAAATTTCTCAAATACTTCTCTGTAGTTCAGTTAAATTTTCCTAAAAAGTGAGGGTTTCGGGGGGGGGGGGTTTCTACTTTTTAGGGCAGTAATGGTGAAACAGAGTTTCTGCATTTAGACAATACCAATTTCTGCATTTCAGAAGAGTATCTAACTCACACACCCAGAAGACTAACTATAATTTAACTGTATAATAACTGAATTTGGGACATAATTTCAAAATAAATGAATATGAAGCAACTTCTCCTTCCCTATTCTTGTTTTTTCCTTTACTGGCTTCTACATTTGAAATTTTCAGGCTCTCCAAGAAGATCACCAACAATATTGTGTATTTTCTACCTCGGAACGCTGACATTGACCAGGTGTGTTACTGGATAAACACACAATTTGTTTCACTGGTGTGGGATTTTTTGTGTAAGAGGGTTTTGTTAGAATTTTTTTTTAAGTAATTAGATGACTGTAACAATTCCCCGGAGTGTCTGGTTTAGTTTCCTCTGTGTATTTTCTATGTTAATTATGTCTTGTAGCTTTTTGCAAAGAAGGGAGCAGTGAGATGGTCTTCTCACCTGCAACATGCTGCAGAACTTCTCAGGATTATTTCCTGCTTTTCCAAAACCTGTGTCTGACTTAGAGCAGGCAAGGTCTCAAGCCACATGGTGGCTTGCAGAATTGTTGGTGGCGAACAGCTGTCTTGAGAAACAGGCTGAAATTCACATGGCCTGAGTATTAGCACACTATGAACCTGCGCTATGCACAGCACCATTTGCATGACGGGTGATGATTCAGCTGCGTTTTGCATTTCAGGCTGGTGAAATGTCAAAGTGGCTTATGAATCTTTGAACAGGGACCTTAATTTTAGGCAGAGTTTCTCTAATTTCAACTTCTAACCAATGCATTTTATCAAATGTTTCATTCCCACGATGAAGAATGACCTTACCAGGTTTCTACTCTACTCATGAGCACTTTTTACTGGATTCATAAATAGGCAAAGGCATATACATTTCACTTGCATTCCCAGGAGACCATCTAAGAGTACTATCCACAGTCCTTTACCTATTTCTACAGAAGAGCTCGGCATCTCTGTGGGGTTGGGTTAGGTGTCTTTCCACCTCCACATCTTGGTCTGATTGGCTCTGAATGTTGTTGATGTGCTCTCACCGTTCCTTGATGTACATCCACAGGTTTGCCTTTACACAAATGGCTGAGGAGTAACTGCTGTTGCTCAAAAACATCGCTTTGTGGTCACAGCTTAGTTGTTAAAAGCACGTGGCTGGAGGCCTGGGTTCAGTTCAGTCGTCCAGGCTACGGGCTACCCTCGGGAAGACAAATCAGCTCTTCATGCCTTTCTCTAGAGATTGTGTCAGTATAAGAAAAAAAAACCCTAAAGATTGGTGATCTGAGAGCAGGGAAATAGAACGTGAATCTAGCCCACTGTTTAGAGAAAGGTAGTCTTAATCCTGTGTAGACAGAGCTGTGTCAAACATGACCATCCCAAACATGACCTTAGTGGATACTCTGGTCCTTCTGAGCCTGGTTATGGGTTCGGCTGCCATCATCTCTGGCTGTATTTAAGAAGTTTCTGAATTTATTGCCACTACACTTCCAGGACTGTGAATCTCCAGAAAAAAAGAAGATTTATCATTGAAGTTCCTTAATGGTTAGTGTAGACAATTGTCTTTTCAGTTTGCTCATGGTTTTCCCCACAGTTATCATCATCTTACTTTTCTCACGGACCAGACAGGGTGGCTTGTGCTGCAACAACTGCCTTGGCAAGGGCTTGTGGACACCATTGCTAAGGTGTAGTGATGTAGCTTGGCTTGTGAACATAGTCCATAAACTCTAGGGGCCTATAAAAGCTTGATGAAGTAAATCTCAAACATTTTTTGCAGGAGATTAATACCTGAAAACCAGTTAACTTGGATAAGGCAATATTTGCTGAACAGATTATCTGATGCCTTAGATCTGAATGGAAACTTAAAAACCTAAGTTTGATTTGTGATAACATTGCTCAGGCATGTAAGATTTGCCTCTTCTGTGTCCTCAAAAATAAACTCTGTATGCTCATACACATATGTGAGGCTTTCAGAGATTACTTGGCTCCTAGAATAGGAGAACGGTCTGACATGCTTAACATGCAAGGTGGCAGTTGTTAAGTACTCTGCCTCATCTCTTGTTGACTGGCTTGAATCTACAAGTGAGGTGTGCTTTGTCAATTAAAGTTGATTTAGAAGCTGACTTAATTGCCATTGCAAACCTCCATGAAGGTGTTTATACTGACTGTAAGCCAGTGTATCAGTGCAAGTTTGCTTGTTTGACAGTGGATCTCAAGCAGAAATGGAAATAAATGCCCAGCAGTTAGAAGCAACCTTACAGTAAAAATACTGTTTAACCTTTAGTTAAGGCGGTGCAAATTTAGCGAAAAATATGTGCTTATTTTTACAGTTACCTATCTAACATAGAATAGGGATCCTGCTGCTGGTGTGAAAGCAGGTGGTAGCTGACGTTGACTTAGTTGTGTTGGAGGACTTGGTGTTCATTGCCTTATTGGTAGACAAGACATCCAACCTTGTTCCACATGATTATATTGCAAAAACAGTGCTTATTTTGTCTGCAGGCACAGCCTTTTCTGTGTAGAGTTTGTCTTGTAGAGAGAGATGGGAGTCTTTGAATTCCCTTATAAAATACACTGAGTTTAGATGGAAAAGGAGAAACGAACTTCTATACTTCTGCCTCGAGAGGGAGCAGCGAACCAGTGCAATATGGTTGGTGCATTTACAAGAAATGTGAAACATTTCCCCTAATTGTGTCAAATCTCCTTGTTTCCAAGCATGTACTTGTTACAAAATTTGTAATGTATACAGGTCCATTTTTAGGTCGAATCAATCTTTCAAAATATTCTTTCTAGTGAAGGAATAATCAGGAATTACTATGTCTATGTGTGTGCACATACATAAAAAATACATTGTTTTATTAATAGTCCCTGTTATGTGGCATGTGTGACACCCTTGTTGATACCCATCTCTTTGCAGCATCTTTACATCTGAGTCTCTCTTTACGTTTTTTTCAGATCCCTTTAAAAAAGAAAAAAAAAAAAAAGAGGGGGAGTTGTAGAAACTACCAGTCAGAGGCATATTAATATCGCTTCAGTTCTGGGGGGCTAAACTTGTATTTGGCTGCCAGTGGTGTTTTCGAAAAGCAAAACAAAAAGTTTGACCTACTTAGAATTCGCGCAAAGTGGGAAAGAGAAATCACTGTTTCAAATAGGTTTGCATATTTAAATCAAAATTATAGCCCTGCAAAATTCAAGTGAAAAAAATTGATAAATACTTGGGTAGCTGAAAACTGTTCTTGCCTTCCGTGAGAAGAATTAATGGTACTAATTTAAGCTAATATTATTTAAAAAAAAAAGGGGGGGGGGGGAAAGTGAATATGCATGCCTTGGCAAAATTTGGATGAAAATAAATTTCTTCCCCTTGTTCTGCTGTTGATTGACTCTACCAGCAATAGGGAACCTGCAGTCAAGGAATGCTCAACCTTCCCCAGCATCCTTCCCCTTCTTGGCTGGTTCATTTCTACCAGATCAAGGAGAAGAAAGGTGATATCTGCAGGAGATCCTATATTTAGGTCTTAATACTCCAGCAAAATGTAACGGAGACCTCCACAAGTGACTTGAGAAGCAAGCTTATTGAGACAGAAGGATTAAATGTTGTATGAAGCGTTTAGCAAGCTGTGCTCTGCCTCATTGTGCAGAGTGGGAAGTGTGTACTCACCCCAGGAACCAGGACTCATCCCAAATAGCCCGATCTCTTGCACAGACTGTTTTCTGTACCAGATAATACTTCTGTATCTTAATATTTGCAGCAAAGGAGGAGGAACCTGGGATTTGTTGCTGTAGGATCTTCTTCCTAATGGTAGGACAGCTTCTTTTCACCTCATTGTAGAAGGCATACTCAGCAACATAAGATACCAAAACATACCCTCCCAAGTGTTCACGTACTAACATAGAGATGCCCTTGACTCTTGTAAGCTGTATGAGTGCTGCTGTTGAGGTATTGTTCTCTCACTGTGGTCAGAATGGAGTCAGGCTGCACGATGGCTCCCCCCAATAAACTGATGAGCCTAAAATGTTGGTGACCTGGTATGTTGTGAGACAAACGACCACATCAGCATCTTTACCGGCCTAGCCAAGTTTGAGAGATGGATTACTGAGAAATCGGGAGTTATTACTTATCCTGACCATGGGTGGTTAACTGCTCAGATCCTGTATTGTGCCTTAGTGATTATCTTAAACTTCTTCACTGTTCTTTGAAGACAGTCATATTGTACAGATTTACAAATGGTGATTTAATTCAGAAACAGATTTTTCTTTTAGCAAAAAGACAATCTTATACATATGTCTATTCGCCATGGGATTATCTTTAAGTCTTACTGATTTTTAGCTGCTGGAAATGTTGCATATTTAACATCCTGAGCGTACAGTAGTGTAAGTTTTAATTTTGGGTCGCATGTTAGTATGTCAAAACAGCAGGATAATTGAGGCTAATTTTCAGATAACATTTCAATCTTTATGACCCTTCTAGTAGAGCGAGCAAACCTATTAGAATAATATTGGTCTACTCTTAAGAGAGAACACGAGTGAGTTTGCTAATTGAAGATGATTCTGAGAGTAAAATGCCTGATTATTATTCAACTTGAGAGGTATCTTTCTGAGTTAGAAAAGGTTGGTCTATCCAAGATCCAGCCTGTGACAAAAGAAAAAACAACACAGTTTGAGAAAGATTTGCCAGTGCCCAGAAGCCTTTCTGTCTGTGTAGGTGAGTTGAAGCTTAACCATAGATCCCAAGGAGGGATATGGCACTGTGGCTCTGCTCAGAGTTATAGCCACCATGTTGTGAAGTCATATCATGGACCTTATTAACTTGATCTACGGTTTTTGCACTAGCAGGCTTTTTGGTGGTATGAGGTATGAGAAGAGATATAATTAAAAAACAAAAAAAATCAAAAGTGTCAAGAACTTTTTCAGAAGTGGAATGACTGAAAAAGCAGCTCCTCCTCAAAATTTGAGTTTACTTCACAATCCAATGTTAATATAGTTCCAGTTTCAAAAACAGGACCTATTTTATTTATTGAAAATAATGCCTTTTCTTCCTGTTAGCGTTGCTATTAAACTGCTGCAAAATGTCCCCTTTTTCAGCCAGCTAATTTTGGCCCTTATAAATAATAGTGTAGTTTTATTCACCATAACAGAGGGAGAGGAGCAATGCTGCTTTTTGAGTAATATATGTCAAATAATAATATTCTTCTTTCTTTTAACCATTTTTGAGTAGTATTTCTTCATCAAACCATATATGAAATTTTACAC